ATCCGCCCCATGGCTCTGTGCCCTCCGCTTCCCCTGGCCAGGGTCAGACCACCAGGTGCTCCCAGTTTCGGTTTGTCTTTCCAGCTCCAGCACCCTCCCTCTTCCAGGATGGACTCTCTCAGTGTATCTCGTTTTGCCCTGACACACCCAGGCCACACTCAACTTCAGGGCCTGTGACAAGGTCACCATAGGATGGTGGTGCAAAAATGAAAGATGTAGGTGGTGCCTTTGGGACTGCATGCCAACCTAGTGAAAATGGAGATGAGAAACATTACTTCACAGGGGTTTGGGAAAGACAAGACAATTGTTGACCAGATAGGAGGTCAACTGGGGCAAAAAAAAAAAAAAAAAAAAAGAATAGCTTTGTTTGGGTTTCTGCAGTGGTGGAGAAGGCATCGCGTCCAGGGAAGGCTTCTTGTGCCCCCTAGCGAGCAAACTGGAAACTACAGTCAAACCTTAGGAAAGAGACTGGCCAACTGTGTTTGAGGGACAAAAGCCAGCTTTCTTAAATGTTGCTGAATGGAGGTACTAGGACAGAAGCTTAAATACATGAACTCCTCCTCTCCAAACCCGTGTGGTAGGTATTTTTATCTCCATTTTGCAAACAGGGACGGTGAAGCGGGCAGGCCCATAACTTCCGGGATCCCTGGCTATGATGGTAGAAGCAGGAATTGAATCTGGATCCTTTTCCTTGCACAGTTCAAGCTCTTTCCACCCCCTCCTGTGCTGCCAGCATCCTGCATTTTCCTCAGGCTTCCAAAGCTCACCCATTTTCCTCTGGTCTAGAGGCTGGCTTCTTCCCAGGTCTTAAGTTCAGTTTCCTTTCCTCATTTTAAGAGCGTGGGCTGCTCCGTCCTGTGGGCTGGCCCTGGCTGGCTCCACACCCACCCCTGGACCCTTACCTCATGGATGGGCTCCTGATGTCAAATCTCCTGCCTGCCTGGGGGCAACATCTTTCCTCTGTAAGCTTTGGGGCCCCAGAGCATTGCCTAAAAGGCCGTTGGATCAGAGCCTCTCCCCTCTCCGTCTAACCTGTCGCCTCTGGCCTGCAAGGCTTTTTCCTGCAGACACATTTCCAGCACCTTCCACTCCAGGCAAACCTAACTACTCCTGGGTTGCTCCAGGCTCTACTCCACCTCTTGCCTTTGCACACGCTCTTTCTGCCCTTCTTTCCCCACTTAGCTCCTGCTGTGAGTCCTTACAGAATTGCATTTCCTGAACTGTACTTTGATACAATTATAAGACACACTTGAAACCCATTTATTATAAGGATCTAGTGTTATTGATTAGGCCACACTGTCATTTTTCATGAAGATCCCTGGAGAATTCTTGTCTCCTCTTAGTACCCCAAACAACTATACTCCTGAGAAACCGGTCCTTTTAAATGTATACACATATTGGGAATGCTGTTACCAGACCGGTTTCCCCCATGTACGTCAGCTCTCGGAAAGCCTAGAGCTCACGCTTTGCCCTGGACCTGACATCGTGGGTGATATTGTGCTGCATTCTTGGTGCCCGCCATTGATTTTTCTTCTCTTTGCCCCACTTTTCACTCTTGCTCTCTTGCTGTTTTGTAAAGCCCTATAAGCAGCCTTAAAGCCTTTCTGGAACAAGGTTGGCTTAAATCAATAAACTGATCGATACAGATAAAAAAAACCTCCCTTGCAGGGTTGTGGAGAGGATTAGACGGAATAATGGATGTGAGTTGCTGGCCCAGAGTTCCCTCCCAGGCCTGGCTGAAGGGTGAGCTGCCAGCTGGGGCCAACAGGACTGTCCTGCTGGAGGTCCACGCCTCCTGTGCGCCCTCTTGTCTTCCTGAGTCTGTAGAAGTCTCCAGGCCGCTGCCCTTCCTCCCTGCTCTTGTCTTGCCCTCACAGTTTCTGTAGGTGGCTGGGTGGTCCTGGCGTGGGGTCTTGAATGAGATTGCACTTGCGATGTTGGCTGGGGCTGTGTCTTAGTCTGTTTGGGCTACTGTACCAGAAACACCATAGGTTGGGTCGTTTATAAACAAGAAATATTTATTTCTCGCAGTGCTAGACATTGGGGAGTGCAGGAGCATGGTGCCAGCAGACTGGTGTCGGGTGAGGCCCCATGTCCTGGCTCACAGACTTCCAGGCTCACAGCTGTGTCCTCCCGCGGCAGGAGGGAGCTCCCTCAGACCTCCTTTATGGGGCCTTTCATCACACTCACCAGGGCTCCACCTTCATGACCTAAGCACTCCCGAAGGCCCCACTTCCTAACACTGGCACATTGGGCAGTGGGATTTCAGTGTCTGAATCCTGAGGGCAGCGGGTGGACCATAGCCAGCTGCAGAGTCAGGAAGTGACTGAGGCCGGAGAATCTGTTTCCTTGATGACTGACTGACTTTGCTGGCAGCCGGTGCTGGCTATCGGCAGGAGGCCTCCATTCCTCCCCATGTGGGACTCTCCGGAGAGCTGCTTGGGTGTCCTTGACGTGGCGGCTGGCTTCTCCCAGAGAGAGTGATGAGAGAGAAGTCGTGTGACTGTGACCCCCTGAGCGCTGGCAGTCTTTTGTTTACTTGTGTGGCCTGTACAGCCCTTGCTCCCAATTCTTTTGTTTACTGTGCTGCCCGGTGTCAGCGTCTACCTAAGAAGAGGTAGAGATCAAGGTCACAGGGTGTATCACCTGCACTCTATAATGTGCAGCAATTACTTGCATAACAGGAACTGGGCAGGGGACAGAGCTATGTAGGCAAGGAAGAGGTGATAATAGGATTAGGCAGATGAGTAAAGGCTGAAGTGCTCCCCTCTCCTCTCAAGATGGAGGGGCTGGTGGGAATTGCCGAGAAAGGGGAAAGTGGGGCGGGTAGCATGGATGGGGAGGCCAGGGGCGGTTCTGGGGCAGCTTAAGTCAGTGGGGCACAGAGAATGTCTCCAGGAACACAGACAGACTAAACAGGGGCCAGAGATGCGCACTGACAACTGAGATCAAAGACTCTGGGAAGAGGGAAGACTGGCACGTGGGGTGGGAGAAGGAGAGGAAGATGGACCCAAGCGTCACCCCAGACCCACTGCCACCTGCCGGCAGGTGGATGTGGGTGAAACAACTGCTGCATGGAGGGATGGAGACAGCCAGTTATGGTGAAGCGGAGCACAAGCTGTGATGGGGGATTGTATGTAGTTTTGGAGGAGAGAAGTGTCTGTGCCACAGGCTTGAGATGCCTTCCTTCAAGGGGAGAGAGAACAGGGAATGGGAGGTGTTGATGGCGATGAAGCCCCTCCAGAGCACAGATGCCTGGGGCCAGTTAGGGGGCTGGGGGACAGGAGAGGCTGGGGTTTGGAGGGAAGGGAGCTCACACTCTATGCAGGGGGACAGGGTTGGTGGGGACAGTCCTTGCCAGGCTCATATCCACACTTTGCACACAAGGACACTGCAACTCAGGCAGGAAAGGGGCTGACTGACAGATACACAGCCAGGGAGCTGGGATCTGAAGGGCCCATGCATTCTACTGTCACGCTTCTGTTTACTGTCTCAGTAGGAAAACCCAGATGGAGTGGTGGTGGCCCTCATAGCCCAGGGACTGTGTGCTGGGGGGCTGGCAGTGAACCATAAGGGCTGTGGGGTGAATGGCTGAAAGGAAGGATATGGTCAAAGCCCTGTGGGGCTGGCCCAGAGGGAGCTGGGGGTCTGTGGAGCTGTCTAGCATTGGATCCCATGTTGTGGACCCTGAGGGCACATCTGATGCAGGGCTCTCCTGTAAACCACCGGGGTCCCCATCCTGGTTTAACCTTGGGCAGATTGCTTCACTTCTTGGAGCTCAGGCCCCTCCTCTGCAAAATAGGGGAGGACATCCATTCCCCCACTTCCAGTGCCTGCTCCTAGCTCAGCTGTGTGAGGGGTGGCTCCGGGAGGGACCTTGCCTGCCTGGGCTCAGATTCTGGAGCCATCACTCACCAGCTGTGTTCCCTTGAATTTTTCAAAGCCTCCTTTTTATCTTTTGGAAAAGGAGGATGGTGATAGTATTTTCCCCGTGGTTAGTGCAAGGTCAAGTGGGCTCCTGTATGTGACATGTTAGGCTATGCTGGCCTGGGGGACATGCTTGGGACACAGTGGCTGTTGATGCCACTGCTGTGGTGAGGGAAAAACTGCCCTGCAAAGGCAGTAGTAAGGATGTTGTAAAAGTCTGTGGTAAGGATGGTGAGAGAGGAAGGGAGAGGCTGGTGGACAGGTGCCAGAGGCCCTATCTGCCAGCAGAGCTGGAGGAAGTGTCCAGAAGCTGGTCTGGGAACTTGCAGAGGCCGGGGATTTGCAGAGTCCCTGCAAGTCCGCCTCCCCTCCATCAGGGCATTAATAATGGGGAAACGGCAAAGTCCTTGGTGACCTCTGCCATCCAGGCTGCAGGGCAGGGATGCAGCACTGTGGCCCCCCGCCGGCACGAGAAGCAGGTTCAGGGGCCAGACTCTGGTGTGGGTTCAGGCTCTTAGAGTCAGCTCTGCTGATGGCAGGCTCTGAGCACAGGATCTGGAGTCAGACCTGGCCTGGATTTCGTGACCTGAATCTGCCACATGCTGGCTGGGTTACCAGTGGTGCCTTCCTCCCGAGCCTTGTTCCTCCTCAGCAAAACAGAGAGTGAGTCGTGCGTACCACAGGCCCCAGGGTGGCGGTGGGCTTATTAAGAAGCCCTCCTTGGCTTGCTCCTTTACAGCCCTGGCTGATGCCGTGGGGGCTGAGCTGACCTCCCTGGGATCTGGCAGAGGAGTAGGTCACGGCCGCCCCAAGCTTGTCTCTCCAGCTGCAACCCCCTCTCTGCAGAGACGGGAGGCGATTGGGGGCAAAGCTCCTTCCAGGGCAGGGAGCCTCTCTCCAGCTCTGTCATTCATTCATTGATTCATTCATTCATTCAACAAACACTTGCCTTACTGAGCACTGTCTTGGGTGCTGGAGCACTCTCTGGCCATCCTGACCTCCCTGACTCATCAGGGCATTCTGGAGAAGTCTCCTCTGATCGTGTTTTTCTCCCTCTGGCTTTATCCTCTCAGGGACCTGAGTGAGAACACCATCCAGGCCATACCCAGGAAAGCTTTTCGTGGAGCTACAGACCTCAAAAATTTGTGAGTCCAGGCCTGGGAGGGACAAGGGTGGAGGGGCTGGAGGGCCACCCCTGCAGCATCCTGTGCATCTCCCCTAGCCCTGTGGTCCAGGCAGACAAGTTGCTGGTGTGGGCTCTGAGATGACTGACGGTCTTCTGGAACAATCTGGGGTCGAAGGAAACAGGCAGCCTTTGGGGACTGGGTAGAAGGGAGTGTCATGGACTGTGAGTGCTTAGGTGAGGTCCATTTAAATGGCACAGCCTCTATGTTCTTGCCCTTCAGCAGATTGAGAGAGCTGGGTTTGAATCTTCTCTTCCAGGTACATATTGTGTAAGTGGTTGCAAGTCAGTTAACTTCTCCCATTTACCTCACAGGCTTATTCTGAAGTTTAAACGAGACATGGAAATAAATACACTCTGTCAAGTGCTATTTAAATGTAATGGTTTAGGGGCACCTGGGTGGCTCAGTCGGTTCAATGTCCAACTCTTGATTTCGGCTCAGGTCATGATCTCACAGTTTGTGGGTTCAAGCCCCACGTTGGGCTCTTTGCTGACCGTGCAGATCCTGCTTGGGATTCTGTCTCTGTCCCCCTCTCTCTGCCCCTCCCCTGCTTGAACTCTCTCACAAAATAAATAAATACACTGAAAAAAAAAAAAAAAGAAAATCTTAAAAACAAATAAATGTGACAGTTTATTCCTACTACTCAAATTTGTTCTGGTCCAGACGTCCCACCTCCCTGAGCTCTGAGTGCAGCAGGGATGGCAGGTGCCCGGCCTGTGTCTTGCTCCCTGACCCCATGTTTGTAGTAGACAGCGGAGCATGGCATTCTTTCCCAGGGGACCCAAATCACAGCTTCGGTTTATTCCAAAGGCAGCATTCCAGGTGGCCACGGCTAGTCGGCCTCGCTTGGCACTCAGGGTGAAATCTGTTTGCCAGCGCTGGCTGCCGTTGCTCCAGGGAGAGGCTGTCTCATTTTCTAGCTGCCAGCACCCTCTAGGTGGTCTCCACAGTGGGGGCACAGACGCCTGCTCCCCAGAGCCTATGCCGACTTAGGTGAAGGAATACAATGCAACTTTTATGTAGATGTGTTGTTTTAACTGAATCAGAAAGAATTGAAACTTTTATTAGTACGGTAAAACCTGGGTTTGTGACAAATGCATTCTGGAAACATGCTTGTATTCCAAAGTGCTTGGACATCAGAGCAAATTTCAAGAACTGTCGGTCAGCTGTGATCACATGGCGTTAGCTGACACGTACTGCTTGTATTGCAAGACATCGCTCGTTTGCCAAATCACAATTTACCAGAAATGTTTGCTCGTCTTGCGGAACACTCGCAAAACAAGTTACTCGCAATCCAACGTTTTACTGTAGTTGCTATTTGGATGAAAGCCTGTGTACTGAATGAGTGGGGCCAGGCCTCTTTTTTTTTGTTGTTTTTTTTTTGTTTAACTAATGAGTGTTTGATCAAAACACATGGACAGACACCCCTGCTCTAGGCAACGTGCATTCCAGTACAATTTCCTTTGCTCCACAGACAGCTGGACAAGAACCAGATTAGCTGCATCGAGGAAGGGGCCTTCCGGGCCCTGCGGGGGCTGGAGGTGCTGTAAGTAGAACGTGGGAAGGGCAGCAGAGGCCGCAGAGCCTTGCTAACGCAGGAGCGGAGGCCCAGGCAGCTGGGGCTGGGCCAGGAGCAGCACAGGAGGTGTCCCGGGACACCCCGGGGGGCAGTGCTAGGCCCAGGGCAGAGGCCATGCTCTCTGCTGCCCTAGACCCGCCACCCAGGATGGGGGTGGGGCGCATGCTCACAGCATCGTACCTGCGGCGGGTGACCCAGGCTTACCCTGCTCGCATGGAGCCCAGGCAAGTGTCTGTGTCTTCCAGGACTTTCTGACACATGAAGCAGGAATGACTCCCTGTCTCCCTCTATGAAACCCCACCCTGGGGGTTTCAAACTGGCTTCAGCCTGTGGGCAGCTTTTCCCTCTCCCTGGAGTCCGTGGCTGCTGCCTGTTAGCCTCTGGCCCACTCTGGGCTATCCCTGAGGGTGGCTCCGTGTCACAAGCTCTTCGGCGGGCGAAGCCTCCGGGGTCCAGCCCGTGGATCTGGGTGTGAAGAGTCTGTGTGCTTGTCAGAGAGCAGTCCTGTCCCTCCTTGGCACGTAACTTCCTGCTGCGTAGATGCCGACTGACTCTGCTTTCCCCCGGTCAGGACCCTGAACAACAACAACATCACCACCATCCCCGTGTCCAGCTTCAACCACATGCCCAAGCTGCGGACCTTGTGAGTCAGCTCAGGGGCAGCCTAGAGCCCGGCGGGCGAGCACAGGCTGGGGCCCCGCGTGGTGGGGAAGGGGGCAAAGGCTTCCACAGGCAGGAGAAAGAGCTCCTTCTCTGCATTCTCAGTGGTCATCCCAGGCTGGGAGTGTCAGAGCCATCCTAGGCTGGGAGGGAAGTGAGCTAAAATGCAAGGATGTTGAATGTCTTATATTTGGTTTCAACTTGGAGAACAAGTGCTTTGTTTCTGTGTTTGAGAATGAGGTATGCGATTCTGGGCAGTGGGTCTGTGTGAGCTCAGTGAGATGAATTGTTGGCTGGTCACTCTGCAGCCAGCGGCTGTCCCTGAGAGAGCTGAGGGCGGGGAGGGGCAGCGGCCAGAGGAGGTGTCCCCCCCGCTGCAGGTAATCCCCATCGGTGTTCCTGCTGTTCAGCTGGGGGCTGGGGGCCCAGGGAGGTGGGTTGTGAGCTGCCCTGTCTCCCTGCAGCCGCCTGCACTCCAACCACCTGTTCTGTGACTGCCACCTGGCCTGGCTCTCCCAGTGGCTGAGGCAGCGGCCAACCATCGGGCTCTTCACCCAGTGCTCGGGCCCCGCCAGCCTGCGTGGCCTCAATGTAGCCGAGGTCCAGAAGAGTGAGTTCAGCTGCTCAGGTGGGTGCAGGCCCTTGACTGCCCATCACCTGCCTCCTGTTACCCCCACATCTCATCCCCTCCCCCCAACATCTCATTGCCTCCCACTACCTCCTGTCACCATGCACTAACATCTGGCCCACCCATGACCTCTCTTTGCTCATCACTTCCTTTTCCTACTTATCACCTACTGTCCTTATCCACCACTGCCTGGACCACTCACGTCTCCGGTCCTTACCCATTATCTCCTATTCCCATCCATCACCTCCTGCCCCATCTCCCCCTCCTGCCCCATCCCTTATCTCCTGTTCTCACCCATCACAAAAACATCATGTCCAAGAATATTCAAGACAGCTTCTTTTCATAAGAGCCCAGAGTTGGAGACAACCCAAATGTCCACCAGCAAGAGAATGGATTAAGTAATTATGATGTATCCATGTAATAGAATACTGCTCAGCAGTGACAAGGAACAAACCATGGATACGCACAACGACATGGGCAAATCTCACAGATTTTATATTGAGCGAAAGAAGCCGGACACAAAGAGGACCTGCTCTCTGATTTCATTTATGTCAAGTCCCCAAATAAGCAGAACAGATCTTTGGAGACAAGTCTCAGAATAGTGGTAACTTGGACAAGGGGCATGGGGAACGCTTCTTAGATGACAGAAATGTTCTATGTCTGGGGACGGTTCTGTGGGTGTATCCATAAGTGGAAATTCAGCCGGATCTCCACTTAAGACGGTGCACTTTAAATGTCGTACTTCAATTTAGAAAATTTATACCAGTCAGTAGGCTTTATCCTGGTTTTACCACCTATCAGCTGTGTGATTTTCCACAAACTAATAACTCTCAAGGGCTTAGTTTTCCCACCTGTAAAATGACCACAATAACATCACACTCCTCATGGGTTCAGCGGTAGCATTAAATGAGTTACCATGTGTGTTAACATCGTTGCATGTGGCACAGAGCGAGTGCCCCATGGACATGGTCCTTGTCATTCTCTGGTGACCAATGAGGAGACTCAAAGTGTTGAGTGACGTGGACTAGAACCTGGAGCTTCGGAATTTAGGCCAGGATTTCCTAGTGTGTGAATCACACTCTCATGCAGCACAGTTAGATCCAGATTCAAGTTCAGCAAACATCTAGCAAGTACCTGCCATGTGCCAGGCACCCACAGAGTCACATGGTAGTCCCTGGTGATCTCCTCTGGTTCATCCTCAGTCAGAAAAACACATGTGCTCTGTATAATAATGCTGTATCTGGGGTGGGAGGTGTTGACATGGGACACCCCAGATCACAGCCCACTGCTTCCTCAGGCCAAGGAGAAGCGGGCCGAGTGCCTTCCTGCACCCTGTCCTCCGGCTCCTGCCCGGCCATGTGTACCTGCAGCAATGGCATTGTGGACTGTCGTGGCAAAGGCCTCACTGCCATCCCCGCCAACCTGCCTGAGAGCATGACAGAGATGTGAGTACAGGGCAGGGAGGGTGCTGGGGCACAGGTGCTCGGGCTGGCCCGGCTCTGGTGGTCCAGGGAGGAGAGGGAGCAGGGCTCTACTGCAGGGCTTGCCTGAGGCCCCTCTGTACAAATGGAGGAGATAGAGTTAGCCTCAGCTGGGCTGAGCCCTTTGCCCAAAGCTGGACAGCTCTAGAAGGCTGGGGAAGGGGTGACTCTCTGTGGTCCATTGTCCAGCCCAGCTGAGTCCACTGCAGTCGGTTTCTTAGTATTAGCCTGATTTATGGGCCCCTTGCAGCCACCAAAGCCTGAGATAATGGGCTCCAATACAGCAGTGTACCTTTCCCCTGTTTGTGCCAGCCCATCTACTCCAGACGGAGGATGGGAACAGGGGCAAAGGGCCCTGTTTGGGCAGGTGATCCCAGCAGGCAACAGTCAGGACTGGGGTAACCTGACCCTGGGCTTCCTCTGTGTTCTCTCTCTGCAGCCGCCTGGAGCTCAATGGGATCAAGTCCATCCCTCCCGGAGCCTTCTCTCCCTACAGAAAACTGCGGAGGATGTGAGTACCTCGCGCTGCTTCCTGGGGGGTCAGCCTGGGGCAGGAGGAAAAGCCTGGAGCAGGCAGCCACAGACACGGGGCAGGTCTTGACTCTACCTGCCCAGGTCATCTGTGACATGTGGGTGGTGGTGCTGTGACCTCGTCATAGGGTTATCATGAGGCCTAAATGGGGTGTTGAGCCTGAGTCTGGCACATGACCAGAGCTGACTGTCACCCTCCTATTTCAGCAGGGGAACTACTAGGACATGAGAGGGGGTGTAGGGGAAACTGGGATGTGGGGTAAAGCTTTATCAAGAAAGGAGACCAAGGCTGGACTTCCTGGCCTGAGTATGACTCTCTCACGCATGGGGAAATAGTGGCCGGGGCATTTCAGGTGGATGGGAGAACTGGCCCCTCATTTTCCTAATGTCGAAGAAATGTCTGCCTTCCCATGGCATCTGGGAGGAGGGGCCGAGCAGGGCTTGGTGGCCACCGCGGGATTCAGCCATCTTCCCTCCTGCGCACTTTGCAGAGACCTGAGCAACAACCAGATTGCAGAGATCGCTCCCGATGCCTTCCAGGGCCTCCGCTCCCTGAACTCGCTGTGAGTAGCAGTGCAAGTCTGCCAGGGTCCAGGGAGCCCCCCGCCCCTGTGCTGTGGCCACTCTGATGGGCACTGGAGGGGGATGCTGTGCCCAGCTCCCCCTTCCTCTCTGGTGGATGCTCTGCAACTGGGAAGGGGTGGAGGGAATCCAGGGCTGAGTGCCTGGAAAAAGCAGGCCGAGCTGTTGCCCCTGGCAACTCTGATGCTCTTCCTGCCATGAAGGGGATTTTCCCAGCATCCCTTGCTACAGTCTTCTGACTTGGCCCAGGCTTCCTGTTGGCACCCCCCCCTCCCCACAGAGGCCCAGCACTCTATGCTCCTAAACTTTCCCCAGCTCACATGTAAGGGCAGCCACTCCCAGCTCCAGTTGTCACAACTGTCACACCTTGTATCTTTCCTCCCAAATGTGCTCTGATCCCAGGTTGCGGTGGGTGATGTGAAAAAAGCGTTTTCCTCCACTTCTGTCCATTTTCCTTCCCTGGAGGGTTTATTGTGTTTGGGGGGGGGGGTGAAGGTGGGGGTGGGGTCCATCAATCTACAAAATGTCATGCAGCTTCAAAAATGTTACTTCATCTCTCCTTTTCCCGGTGCCCTTGCTTGTACCCCAAGTTCACCAAGTCTCTTGCTGTTGGAGGTCTATACAGAGAGTGCACTGTAGCTGGGCGAGTTCCCCATTGGTAGGGGCCTTTTGTTACTCTTAAGAGTTAGTGTTTCTGCTTGTCCTTGGCAGCAATGGACACATGCCTTGTATAGATTAGGGGCCTGAGAAGTGAGATAGGATGGAACTCCCCCTTGGGGAATGTGTGAGGCTGCCAGCTCAGTGCCTCTCTGTGAGCCTTATTCTCTTGGAGTAGAGTCTGAGCTAGTGGGTGGGACTGTTTGTGAATGGCACCCTGTAAGTTGTGCAGTATACAATCTACACAGCTGTAACCTGACGGCCTGGTGATGAGTCTCTATCATTGGCTGAGGAGATCAGAATCTGGAGGTGACCTGCCAAAATGCAATAACATTTAAGTAGGTTCCTGTTGCTCCTGGATACCTGGTCAAAGCCATCTCCCCACCATCTGGGAACTTCTGTGATGATGGCGTGTTAACGGACCTCATTGACAGCATCCATCTTGGCAGACCCTGACCTTGTCTCCCTGCTTCAGCCCCTGTCCCCTCCACTCTGTTCTCCACCGAGCAAATGCAAATCTGATCATGTCTCAGAGGCTTCCTGGTGCTGGCTGGGTAAAATCCAAGCTGTTATTCCATTTGTTTCCCCTGAGCCACACTGAACCACCCCCCCCCCAGGGGGAGGGGCAACCTGGACCCCACCGTAGGGCCTTTGCTTCTGCCATGCCCTCCTTCAGGAAGGATCTTGAAGCCGTGTATGAAGAGACCACATATACTGTTTTTACTCAGCCTGAATCGTTTACAGGGGTGGCTTATGGGGGCTGCTTGTGATATTGGGCAAGTTCCCAAGCCCCGTTGGTACTTCATCCTCTGCCCCAACCCATTCTTGCCTGCATGGCTTTTTTGAACCTTTGCTTTTTTTTGTATCATACACCAGAATTCCTGCTCAACACAGAGAACTCAGGTATGACACCCACTCGTACCCCACCGCCCAGATCTCAGCTCGGCTAAACTGATCTCTTTCTTTCTGGGGTGTTTTCTGTTGCTTGACGTCAGAGCTCATGCCACACGTGCCATCTGGCCTTCCTGTTCTTTTTCCTATAATCCTCTGAAAATATGTTAATTATCCCGCTCATGGGATTTTCTCCTCCTTGAACCTTTTAGATCCAGGGCCAGGTTAATTTCCCATGAAGTTCCCCAGAGGGCCCCTTTGCAGGCTTCTGGGGGTTCCATGTGTGAGGCAGAGAGCGGGTTATTGGGGGGCTGCTCCTACAGTAGCGGGGGATCACTGCTGCCTCTAGCCCATAGGGTACCTTTTGCAAACTACAAATGGGGAACCCTTTAGGAGCACACCTTACTGCCACCTGCTGGCAACTTGTTACAACAAACCGACACCACCATGCTGTGCCCTGTGAATGGCTTAGCAGTGGCGCTGTTGTGCGGGTGTGACTGGCAGAGCCCTGTCCCTCCTGGTGGGCTGTCCTCTTACTCTCTCTTTCTGCTGCCTTTTGTCTCCAGGGTCCTGTATGGGAACAAGATCACAGACCTCCCCCGGGGTGTGTTTGGAGGCCTGTACACCCTACAGCTCCTGTAAGGACCCATCTGCAGGTGTCCTTGGGTGGCGCCCAGGGAGGGGGCTAGTATTCCTCTGGCTTCTCAGACTAGCCTTGTCAGCCTCTTTGGGGGTGTGGGACTCACTGGGGCAAGGAGCTTGGATGATGGCAGAGCTAGGGGTGCCATGGGGGACTCTGGGACTCTGGCAAAGCCAGAGAGGGAGGGGGGTCAGGTTCAGAGCCGATCACAGGACGCCTGAGCTGAGAGGCTCCCGCGATGCAGCCTGTGTTCCCAAGGAGGTCAGCATGGCTGGGGACAGACTTGACTCCTGCAAGGGGACATCCAGACCCAGCTCAGCCTCCTTCAACCATGAGAGTTCAGGCAAGGGTTCTCTCCCAGAATCTGAGAGGCACGGAACCTAAATGCTCCATCTCAGATACTTGGAAACCCGGCAGACTCTGGAAAGGAGGGGAGCCCCCAAAATGCCTTTGGGAGGAGGCCTGACCACTGTGCTCTCTGCTTCCCAAGAACCCCATGAGCACTTGTAGCAGTTGCTTGAAAGGGAGAGGAGCAGTGGAACAGGATGATCCCTCGCTTAGAGGGGGCAGTCGGACTTCGCGGCTTCCTGTATGGAGTGGACATGCAGAGGGCCAGACCCCCTGCACCTGCTCCTGTGCTCTTCTCCCCGAGACAACGCATGCTTTGTGCCGGGAGGTGCCCAGGGCGTGTTGATGCAGCTGGATCCGCGCCTCTCCCCTCACCAGCTGGCCCTGTCTGCCCACAGGCTCTTGAACGCCAACAAGATCAACTGTGTCCGGCCCGATGCCTTCCAGGATCTGCAGAACCTCTCGCTCCTCTCCCTATATGACAACAAGATCCAGAGTCTCGCCAAGGGCACCTTCACCTCCCTGCGGGCCATCCAGACCCTGTGAGTGCCCTCTTGCCCTCCTCCCCTCGGTCCCTGCACCTGCAGGAAGACTTAGCGGGAGGCGACAGCCCCCCAGGGACAGGCAGCTGTCTTGCCCTGTGCCTTTTGCTCACCAGGATGGCCTCTCACAGAGGAAAGAGCACAGATTTGGGATTGGATAGTCCTGGGTACAAATCCCAGCTATGCCTCTTATTAGCTGTGTGACTCTAGGCAACTTAATTTAGCTTCTCTGGGCCTCAGCTCACTCATTCATAAAATGAGGATACTATTTTCTTCAGGGGTTGTTATGAGATAAAAGGGGATGTTTGTGCAGAACTTAGTTCATTGTAAATGTTCCTTAAATGCTGGCTGTAATTAGTAATAATAATATAATATCAATTCTAAGACATCCGTTGTTTCTACATTAACAGCTCTAAGCTGGGATGAATATTACAATCAATGGCATGTCATTTAATTGGCAGGATTTTTTTTTTTTAACGTTCATTCATTATTGAGAGACAGAGAGAGACAGAACATGAGTATGGGAGGGGCAGAGAGAGGAGGAGACACAGAATCCGAAGCAGGCTCCAGGCTCTGAGCTGTTAGCACAGAGCCTGATGCGGGGCTCGAACTCACAAACTGCGAGATCATGACCCGAGCTGAAGTCAGACGCTTAACCGACTGAGCCACCCAGGTGCCCCTAATTGGCAGGATTTAGTTCTTTTCTGCTAATACATAAAATAACAGAGCATCTTGCAACTGATAATATCTTAAACCAGATGAAATACGGTAATAGCAATGATGGCTATAAATTAAAAATTAGAGAGGAACAACCCTAGGCATTTATTTTAATCTTTTACTGAAGGAAATTATAAACATATTCAAAGCAGAATAGTGAGCCTCCTAGAATTCATCGCCCAGCTCTAACTCGTGGCCAGTCTTGTTTCATAATATCCCCTCTTCCTACCTCCCAGACTATCTGGAAGTAAACCCCAGCATCACTCATCATCTATACAGACTTCATACATATGTATAAAAGGCAAAGATTCTTTGAAAACGCAACCACAACACTGTTATTATATCTAAAAATTTAGCACTTCTTTGATATCATCAGATATCGAATTAGCGTTTAAATTAAGCGTCTCAGGGGCGCCTGGGTGGCGCAGTCGGTTAAGCGTCCGACTTCAGCCAGGTCACGATCTCGCGGTCCGGGAGTTCGAGCCCCGCGTCAGGCTCTGGGCTGATGGCTCGGAGCCTGGAGCCTGTTTCCGATTCTGTGTCTCCCTTTCTCTCTGCCCCTCCCCCGTTCATGCTCTGTCTCTCTCTGTCCCAAAAATAAATAAACGTTGAAAAAAAAAATTTTTTTTTAAAAAATAAAAAAAAATAAATTAAGCGTCTCATACATATTATACAGTTTTTAAAATAACTTGTCTGAATCAGGAGCTAAATAAGGCCTAGATGGTACAACTGGCTGATACTGGCTGATGTATCACTAAGTTGTTTTTAGCCTCTAGGTGTCCTCTCCATGGCCTTGTTCCTTGTGCTATGTTAGTCGAAGGCATTGTGTTATTGCATCCATAGAGCTCCCCATGGTCTGCACGTTGCTGGGAGATTACATTCCCTGCGATGTAGCTTCACATTCCCCTCTGTCCTGTCTGTGTCCTGCAGATAGAAAATTCTATCCAGGAGCTTGGTCGGGTTCAGATTTTTTTTTTTCTTCTTTAGGCAGGATGACTCCACAGAACTGTGTACTTCCATTGGGAGTCACATGATATCTGGTCAGCTCTCTTTGTGTAATAAACACAGCCGCTCATTTCAGTGCCTGGACCCGTTCGTTCATTAGGGATCCTGAAACGGTGATACTGGATTTCTAACATTCCTTCTTCATTTGATAATGCTGTTGTGGTTATGCTTGAAAAAGGAATCCTTACCTGCAGTGTGACTTGATGAGCCGACCTGTGGGTCCAGAGCTGCATGCTTAATGGACATTTACCATTACTATCGCCATGGCCCTTGTTGTCACTGTCATCCTGCCATTGTTTATCCGCTGGACAGTGGTCTCCATCAGATAATACGTGCACAGAGCACCAGCATACATTAACAGAGGTCAAAGAAAAAGCACAGCTCTTGCTCCCCGGGAACCACGCTCACCAGCAGGGACATTAGCCACAAAGACAAACTTGTTAAAGCCCATGTGCCCACCTGCCGCCCACACCTGCTAACTAATTTTCTTATAGCCAAGGAGAAGGGGATAGAACACTATGGGGAAATCTTGCCAAATACGTGAAATTCAAAGTTACGGGGAGACATCGGCAAGGTGGATTATTTTATGCAGCTGGCGGGATGTCCGAGAGAAATGCACTCAGGAGATTTCAAGGTCGGGGACCCCCACACAGGAAAGCCTTGAGGATGGGGAATGGGACTGAGGGTCTCATGCAAGGAGCCGTCACCCTCTCAAGGTGGAAAGAGAGCGAACAAATCAAATGGATTGCGCTCCCTGGGGATGGTTTCTGTCTGTGTCCACTTACCTGACTGGATTTCAGAGAGTGCCCGCCAGACGGCATGCCTGAGATCTTGGCCACTGCCCATAGGGCAGTAGTGGGGCACAAAGCTGGAGCAGAATGTTAGAACAGGAAGTCTTCCCACAGGTGAGATCAAAATAGTGGTGGTGACACTGAAAACAACAGTCACTGCTGTTTATCGAGCCCTCACAGAATGCCAGGCCACTGCTCTTCCCATGTATGACCTTACTGAATACTCACAGTGGCCTGTGGAGGGAGGGTCTAGCATCCCTGACTTCACTGATGAGGAAACAGAGGCAGGAGGTCATGTGACTCACTCAAGGTCACACAACATCTTAGTAGAGCAGGGATTTGGTCTCAGGCATCTCTTTCACCATCACTGAGAAGGCAGTTAACTTTCCCCTCAATTGTGCTTTTTTCCATAAGAATAGACCTTATTATTTAAAGGCTGTAAAACAGAACTGGACTTTCATAAACACCTAATGTATATTAACAGCTCAAATATAGTTTGGAATAAGAATAAACGAAATACAAATCTGAGGTATAATCAGGTATCTCAATACAGGTTTGGATGGTTAAACCCCTTTACTGAATCGTGTGTCAGGCCTGATATCAACTCCCCACATCCTGCTTGATTTGTCCGTGGCTCCGAGATCTGTGGCTCGGTGCCTTGTGTCTCAATACTGATTTTGCTGCAGTTTTCCTCGCCCTAAGAGATTTTTCAAAGTTGTTTTTTTTTTTTTTTTTTTTTTTTTTTTTTTTTTTTTTTTTTTTTTTTAAACAGCTTTCATGAAGCTTGCCTGGGTGGCTCGGTCAGTTAAACGTCCAACTCTTGATTTCAGCTCAGGTCATGATCTCACAGTTTGTGGGTTCCAGTCCCCACATCAGGCTGTGTGCTGATGTCGCAGAGCCTGCTTGGGGATTCTGTGTGTCTCTCCCCCTCTCTGCCCTTCCCCTGCTAATGCTCTGTCCTTCTCAAAATAAATAAAATTAAAAAAAATACTTTCATGCGGTATAACTTATATACCATAAAACCCACCTGTTCCAAGTGTACAATTCAGTGATTTTTAGTATATTTCAATTGTTCAGCTAGCACCACAATCAAATTTTAGAACATTTCCATCACTCCCTCAAAATCTCTTGTGTCTCTTTTACAGTCAGTCCCTATTGCCAGCTCATCCCCAGGCAGCCACTCGTCTAATTTCTGTCTTTGTAGTTTGCTTTTTCTGAACATTTCATAAAAATGGAATCATCATGATGTGTCATCTTTGTGACTGACTTCTTTCACTTAGCATTGTGAGGTTTTTTTTTTTTAAATGTTTATTTATTATTGAGAGAGACAGAGACAGAGACAGAGCAGGGGAGGGGCAGAGAGAGAGGGAGACACAGAGTCCGAAGCAGTCTCCAGGCTCTGAGCTGTCAGCACAGAGCCTGACGTGGGGCTCGAACCCACAAACCATGAGATCGTGACCTGAGCTTAAGTCGGACGCTTAACCGACTGAGCCACCCAGGTGTCCCAGCGTTGTGTGTCTGAGGTTCGTCCATGTGTCAGTATGTATCAGTACTTTGTCCCTTTTTATTTTTTGCCAAGTAATTTCCTATTGAATGGATAGACCACCTTGTGTTTATCTTTTCTAGTTGGTGGACATCTGGATTTCCACTTTGGAATCATTATGAATAAGGCTGCTATGAACATTTGCTTGCAAATCTTTATGTGGACAAATGTTTTAATTTCTCTTAGAATTTCTGGGTCACATAGGAAATCTGTGACGATTAAAAAATCGTCAGTTTTCTGGGCACGTGGCTGGCTCAGTCGGTTGAGAGTCCAACTTCGGCTCAGGTCATGATCTCACAGTTTGTGGGTTCGAGGCTCACGTTAGGCTCCGTGCTGACAGCTCAGAGCCTGGAGCCTGCTTCGGATTCTGTGTCTCCTCCTCTCTCTGCCCCTCCCCTGCTCATGCTCTGTCTCTCAAAAATAAAATAAATGTTAAAAAAAATTTTTTTTTAAATTGTCAGTTTTCCTAAGTGGCTATAAGTCCCATTTTATGGTCCTACCAGCAGTGTATTGTAAGGGTTCCATTTTGTCTCCATCCTTGCCAATACCTGGTATCATTCGTCTTTTTGATTATGGCCACCAAAGTGGGTGTGGAGTGGTAGCTCATTGTGGGTTTAATTTGATTAATGATGCTGAGCATCTCTCCCGCAAGATTTTTAGTTGTGACTTCTTTTTTTTTTTTTAATTTTTTTTTTCAACGTTTATTTATTTTTGGGACAGAGAGAGACAGAGCATGAACGGGGGAGGGGCAGAGAGAGAGGGAGACACAGAATCGGAAACAGGCTCCAGGCTCTGAGCCATCAGCCCAGAGCCTGACGCGGGGCTCGAACTCCCGGACCGCGAGATCGTGACCTGGCTGAAGTCAGACGCTTAACCAACTGCGCCACCCAGGCGCCCCTAGTTGTGACTTCTTGAGTGCATATTCCAACAAAGACACTGAGAATACAGTCTTCCCTTCCACCTTCTACTGTGACAAATGTTCATGGCCACACATGCAGCACATTTCTGCGTGTGCCTCTAACGTGATGATATTTTCCCAAGCTGGTATTTTTTCCTTCTTCTTGAGCAATTTCCCTTCTCAGCTCCCTGCCCTTTGCAATTATTAAAAACTCTAATTTGTGTCAAATACTGAAGCCTCTTGTCTCTGTGGGTGGTTCAAGTTTTTATAGATTGGTTTTGACACAAATAACCTGTTCTTAAAAAGGATATATTCTACGCTGCACCCCTTGAACATTTTAACGTGTGCCTGAATAACATAATTGGATTGATTTTAAGCAGTTTTCTACCAAGATTGTGATAAAGGGAAGCCATTAGTTCAGGCAGAGGCCGGGCAGTGAGGCATAGGCAGATGTGGTCGGGAGGGTCCCAGAGCAAGCCCCGACTCCTAATACGTTTTCCATCAGCAATGAACTCTGCCCTGGGGAGTCGGCAAACACGTCTTCTCTGCAAATTGACAGTTTGAATAGGGGGACAAATGTGCAACTAGATGCAGAAGGCCCGGCCCACTTGGTGATCCTGACAGGAGCCTGGACTCAGGCAGGCAAGTGGGGACAGTGCCCAGGGGAGTGGCAGGGACGTCTGGGCCAAGAAGGCTCCAACCAAGCATCCCACCTTCATCCAGAGCCCAGGAGGTGATGAACAGGAGAGCGAGTGGCCGAGGTCTGAGCTGAGCTGGGTGCAAACCCTGAGCAGCAGTTGTGTCTCTGCCTGCAGAGCCCTGTTGGCCCATCAGGGCACTGGGTTGAGGCCATGAAGTGGACGGCCTGAAGTGATGGCATTAGATGGGCCTCTGAGCTGGCCCCTGCTCTGTCTCCCTGTACTTCCGTGCAGAAGCATTGGCTCTCAGGGACAGTAGCCTGAGCAGGTGCTAGAATATTCTTCCCTGGCTGTCTCAGTTTAGAAAGCAGGACATGCCCAGTGCTGTGATGGCCCAGATGCAGGTCAGCAAGCTGGCTGCTGGGGTGGTTCAGAGGTGGCTGGTCTGAGCCTTTTGGGGGTGGTGAGGGCCCACAAACAGGAAAACCAGCCCTGTGGTTGCTTACAGCAACCCAGATTGCTATAGTCAGCATCACCTGTCAGCTGCCCCCTCCCCACACCTACCCTGCTGGTCACACAGGCAGCCTGGAAAGAGAGTAAGAGTGACTTCCCAATAAGTAGCTATCCGGCCATGTTCTCTGACTTTCCCTTGTGTCAAGAGACAGCATGTAAAATGGTCAGGGGGAAGCAGTCCCAAAGGCCTGGGGTGGGAACGGAGATTCCCGTAAGTGAGAGGCTGCAACAGGCACTTTGACACACGTCACTCCAGCTGCAGGACCCAGCCCTGCACCCCTGGCCTCATCCCCTTCCTGACAAAGGCTGTGGAAAGAAGCTGCTGTCGTCCAAGGCCACGTGGAAGGGACCACCCACATCAAAGACTTCTGGGCACTGACAGTCCTGGGTTCAAGTACCTGCTGTGTCCCCTCACCCATGGAATGATGGGGTGATCTGGCCAGTCTCAAGGTCACTCTTGCCTCCACTGGTGTCTGTGAAATGTCCCAGGGTGGGTACAGGTAGGTAGATGGACAGGGGACAGAGTGAGGCTTGAAGTGGGGAGTGTAGCAGGGACAGCTGGACACCCAGAGCCTGCAGAGATCCTTCCCTGCTGCGATGCCCTGGCAAGACTTCTCCAGCTGATGGGTGTGCCCGGGGGGTGGCCCCAGGTGGTGCATCTCCCCCGGGGCCCAGGCCTGGGCTTGGAGCCACCCAGAGGCAGTGAGGCCCTGTCCAGGCAGAGGTCAGTGCAAGTTTGCAACCCTGTCTCTGATCCCCACTCTGCCCCCTTTGGACAGGCACCTGGCACAGAACCCTTTCATCTGCGACTGTAACCTCAAGGGGCTGGCAGACTTCCTGCGCACCAACCCCATTGAGACGAGCGGGGCCCGCTGTGCCAGCCCCCGGCGCCTCGCCAACAAGCGCATCGGGCAGATCAAGAGCAAGAAGTTCCGGTGCTCAGGTAGCTGCCTGCTTGCCCACCTGTCTGTCCGTCCACCTGCCTGCCTGTCTTCTATCTGCTCAGGGACCTGGTGGTGTTTTCTGGATGGCTCCAACAGGGGCGTCCTAGGCCACCGGAGACCCTCTCAGAGGGGGTAGTTCCGAGACCATAGACTTGGATCTGAACGGTTGGTCAGCCCCACCCCTCACTTAACTGGGGCTCAGGGAAAGGTAGGCCTGGCTGAAGGTCCCTGAGGGAGGACTCCCGCACAAGGACCCAGGTTCCTCTGCTCCCAGGTCAGTTTGCTTTCATGCTACTGCTTTTCACACTCGAGAAGCCTGGGAGCTCTCCTCAGGGAGAGAGCTGCCTCCTCCAGGCTCTGGGGCAGCAGAAACTGGCTGGGGACAGTGTGAGTCAGCTTCTGAGCCTGGATCCTGGTCAGGAACCGGGTGCCTCTCTGCCCCATCCCCGTCTTGTACCATTGCATATGAGCGTTGCCATGGTTTGGGTGCTCCCCGAGAGGTTCATTTGGGGGTGGTACCACCCCAGCATCAACCTGGCCAAGGAACATCTGTGCTCTGTGGCAAGGCCTTCTCCGCACGGGGACTGGGCGGGTGGGCTCTAGGGCCCTGATTTGGGACCCCAGTGTTGTTCCCGGGGTGCCTGCACCTGGGCAGTGGGACTGGGGCCTGGGCTCTTGCACATCCTGGAAGATTCCAGCTTGATGGTGTTTCTGCTTCTCTCCCCAGCCAAAGAGCAGTATTTCATTCCAGGTAGGAGAGTCCGGGGAACTAGGGGGTTGGGGCGGTGGCAGCTGGTGGGCAGGGGCAGCAGGCTGAGGGGGCTAGGGAGACCCTGCCCTGGGGCCCTCAGCCTCCCGCCCCTGCCCTCTCACCGTAGGCACGGAGGATTACCAGCTGAACAGCGAGTGCAACAGTGACGTGGTCTGTCCCCACAAGTGCCGCTGTGAGGCCAGCCTGGTGGAGTGCTCCAGCCTGAAGCTCACCAAGATCCCTGAGCGCATCCCCCAGTCCACGGCCGAGCTGTGAGGGCCCCCAGCCCCTGCACATCCTCACCGGTCCCCAGTCCTCCTAGCCCTCCTCGATCCACACTGGGCTTTCCCCCGGTCTGGCTCTGTTTGGGACCGCTGGAGACTCCAGCATGGCAGCGGCTGGCTTTAGCAGGAAGCACCTCCCCACCCCTGAAGCCCCTCTGCTTCTGACTCACCGCCTCCAGACCCTTCCAACAATCTCTGGCGTGCAGGGAAGGTTGTCAGCCTGAGCCGGGGTGGCTTTTCTCAACCAGGCTTTTGCCTTCTTCTGGGAGATATGATTCCATTAGATCAAGTTGGATCTTAGGCCATACTCTATTTTTTTTCTTTAAAAACATAAATTTGTGCACATGCCTATGTGCACGAATAGCTACACATATCTGTCCTTCATGTATGTAAGTTTTCATGGCATTTTTAGTGTTAAAAGTACCCCACTCACCGCCCCTCCCAGCACCATCATCCACCCTTCCTTTGATAAGCGATCAGTTTGCCTTGCCAGATAAATTCTTCGGGGAGCCCCTTTGTTTGAGTCCCAAATATTCTCAATTTGGAAGATATTCTAATGTCTGTCATTTATGAATGTGTAAGTTCTCTTCATTGCCTCTTACAGACGATTAAACAACAATGAGATTTCCATCCTGGAAGCCACTGGGATATTTAAAAAACTCACTCATCTGAAGAAGATGTGAGTTACCCATTGGCGGGGAGGTTGTGGCCAGGACTCTAGCTGGGGAGGGAGAAGGAAAATATTGTGTGTGGGGAGAGTTTCATGGGGGCAGAGCTCCCCTGCAGGGGGCGGGTGCAGGAAGGTGGGGGAGGGTCTGCAACTCCATAATCTTTCTGCCGCCCTCCGTCCAGCAATCTGAGCAACAACAAGGTGTCCGAAATCGAAGATGGGGCCTTCGAGGGTGCGGGCTCTGTGAGCGAGCTGCACCTGACCGCCAACCAGCTGGAGTCCATCCGGAGCGGCATGTTCCGAGGCCTGGACGGCTTGAGGACGCTGTGAGTGTGCGGGCCAGGGAGCAGGGCCAGGCTGCAACGGGCAAAAGCAAGCTAGCGTGTCGGTGTCTGCATCAGGAGAGAGGATGGGAGGCACCCCTCCCGACCCCGGCTGGCGGGAGGAGAGGGGCAGCTGAGGGTGTATGAGGTCTACAGCCAGGGTCTGCAGGCAGCAAATAATCAGATGTTGGTAACCGTGGTGAGGCCTTTCTTGTTCCCTGGGGTGTGGGGTCGATGCTTGGTGAAGGGGTGGGTGGGGGTGAGCCCTTTTGGAGGTTCCCCCTCACTGCCCTCTCATCAGCCTGCAAGAGCACCGCACGTGTGTTTAGTTCAGGAGTGGCAGGAGGGCTGGGTGGCCCCAAGGCGGGGACATTGCTGAGGTGACTCAGCCAGTGCGGAAGGGGGAGGAGGGATGGCCCATTATCTCTGGGATTCTGGGATCCCACGAACCAGAGCCCAGCCAGAGCTAACCAGACTTTGGGACTCAGTAGATCCTGGGGTCACCCGCACCCCCCCCCACAAGTGCTGTAGAGCCCCCCCCCCCCCACACACGGGCGGCACTAGCTCTTCACGTGACCACATAGACCTTTCAAGGGCGCAATAGACCGTGCCATCCAGTTGGACTTCCTACAGTGGCAGAAATGTCCCACGTCTACACTGTCTAGTCAGTAGCCACGTGTGGCTGTTGACATGGGGCCAGCGCTGTTGAGGCACGACATTTTGAATTTCATTTCATTTTAATTATTTTGAATCTGAATAGCCAAGGGCCACTATGGGGAGGGGGGGAGGCATAGCTCTAGACGCCGCCCTGCTGGGTTTCAATCCCAGACCAGCTGTAGGGCTATCCATCCGTTTTCAGAGCGCACATCATGGAATTTGTGTAAAGGAAATGAATATATGAGGGGTTCCCTGTGGGTTTGGGGTTTGTTGTTGTTGTTGTTTGGTTGGTTTGGTTTACAGAAAGGGGATGCCCTTTGTGCTGTGTTTTGCCACCGGCTTCTTTCACACGTGGATCTAGTGGGACTGTTTTCCCAGGCTGTTCACATGGGGCTGCCTCATTCTTCTCTATACTTGCCGGGTAGTCCTTGAATGAAGGTGTCGTGGGCTAGTCAGCCAGTCACGTGGGTTCTTTCTGAGGAAGGTGTGGATGGGGCTGGAGGAGAGAGGAAGGGCTGGTCTGGGGCAGAGCCGGTAAGAGCCCATGAGTGACAGCGCAGGCACAGGAAGAGGAGTGCCATAACCCCTCCAGCCCACACAAACGCTGTTAATTGTCCATATCAACTACTTTCCAGTCTTCTGTATCCACACATGTTCTTGCACATATGCACACACACACACCCATACACCTGGGTGCTTCCATGTAGGTATTTCTGAACGGAGTCCTAGAATCCATTTTATTTAGTAACCTGCTTTGTCTTAAACACAACGTGAGCACATTTACATACCATTAAAATTTCTTTTACAACATCATTTTGAAGGACTATGCATTACATAACTACTGGAAATTCCGGCTATTTATTTTTTAATGTTTGTTTTTTTGAGAGAGAGAGAGAGACCGTGTACGTGTTTGCACGCGTGCACATGAGCGGGGGAGGGGCAGAGAGAGAGGGAGAGAGAGAATCATCCCAAGTAGGTTCCACTGCCCTCAGCGCAGAGCCTGATGCGGAGCTCGAATCCACAAACCGTAAGATCATGATCTGTGCTGAAATCAAGAGTCGGATGCTTAACTGAGCGGCCCAGGCACCCCAGAAATTCAAGCTATTTTAATTTTTTATTATGAGTAATGTGATTAATATCTTTATCATGAAATTCTGTGTGCATCCAGGATTATTCCCTATTGATAAATTCCTAAAAGAAGCCTTGCAGGATGAAAGCATGAGGCCCGTTTAGGGCCTTTGCTGCCTGCCTCTCACTTCCAGGAAGGCCCCACACCATTCTCCTGCCGGCCCAAGTGTGAAAATGCCCATTCACCCATACTGACCCTCTATTACTATATTTACTATACTATATTATATACTATACTATTACTATATTTATATATTACTATATTACTATATTTATATATTACTATATTTTTAGTTATTTTGCAGTTTGTCAGGCAAAGATTCAATATTGCTTACATGTACTTGATTACTAGTAAGTTTAAACATTTTTTTTTTTATCGGTGTTCATAAACCATTGTAATTTCCTAGTGAATCGCCTATTCTGTGTCCAGCTTGGTTTTGTTTTTAGTTGGGGAGGGGAATTGAGCCAGGTTTTGGAGGGTGAACACAGACTTAAGCAGATAAAAATGAGGGAAGGGGTCATTCTAGAAGGACACCACAGCCAGGGAAGGGCATGGAGAGGCAGGCCCCTATGCATGCCCGCAGGACAGAGGAGTCAAGGGTATGTCCCTCTCCAGGAAGGCGGCCGGTGCTGGTCTGGGGTTGGCTCCCGCGGGTCACGGTAAAGAGTGTAAACATTATTCCGTGGGCAGTTTGGGAGCCACTGGGGCTTCGGCCTGGAGAGGAACACGACTGGGTTTAGGTTTTGGGTCAGTGTCCCCGGCGTTGGTGCAGAGCATGGCCTGGGGGCGGGAGGAGGCCCTGGGCACCCAGGGAGTGTAGGCGGAGGTCAGGCCGTTTGGGCGCTGTGCAAGCAGGGTGGCTGGGAGAGCATCCTGAGGGGGAGCGTGGGGAGGGGAGGGCCCCGGGAGAAGAATCTGTGGGAGGCCCCCGTGGGCAAGGCGCAGGCTGGTGGGTGGCTGCGGGCACAGCACGGGCTCCCCCCTCTCACCCCCCAGGATGCTGAGGAACAACCGCATCAGCTGCATCCACAACGACAGCTTCACGGGCCTGCGCAACGTCCGCCTGCTCTCGCTCTACGACAACCAGATCGCCACCATCTCCCCTGGGGCCTTCGACACCCTGCAGGCCCTCTCCACGCTGTAAGTCTGGCTCCGGCATCTGAGCCCCAGCGCCCGTCCGCCCACCCTCCCAAGGGCGGCTACTTGAAAGGACTCACTGGGGGTGTCGGGCCCTGGTGGTCTGTGGGGTCCCACTACGTCAGAATGCCACGTCTTGGTAACTGCCGGTCATCTGGGAAAAAGCGTGGGTGGCCGCCTGGCCAGTCTGTGGTGGGGCGACAGGGCATTGCAGGGAAACCCAGCCCGGAGGGTGTGTTGCTGGTCACACGGCTGCCTCTTCCAGAAACCTTCTGGCCAACCCTTTCAACTGCAACTGTCAGCTGGCCTGGCTGGGGGACTGGCTGCGGAGGAGGAAGATTGTGACAGGGAACCCGCGGTGCCAGAACCCAGACTTCCTGCGGCAGATCCCCCTGCAGGACGTGGCCTTCCCTGACTTCAGGTGTGAGGAAGGTAAGTCGTGGGGCCCTGAGCGGGAGGGGAGAGGCAGGCAGGCCAGCCCTGAAGAGTTTCCCGTGGGGAGGGGTGGCCCTGGGCCTGGGGTGGGGCGGGGAGCAGGGAGACCCAGTCTTAGTCCTGCGCCTACCGCTGCCTGGGGGTGTTTTCCCATGATTTTAAGAGCAACAGTTATTGTTTAAAAAGTTATTGTTTAAAAAATGGAAAGAATAGGTAAAAGGAGGAGATAAACGTTACCTATTATTCTATCACTCAGAGAAAATCACAGTTAACGTTTCAGTGTATTTTTAAAAATGTTTCTTTATTTATTTTGAGAGAGAGAGCACGTAGGGGAGAAGCAGAGAGAGGAGGAGAGAGAGAATCTCATGCAGGCTCCACACTGATAGCTCAGAGCCTGACGAGGGGCTCGAACTCCCAACTGCGAGATTGTGACCTGAGCCACAATCAAGAGTGGGATGCTTAACCGACTGAGCCACCCAGGCGCCCCTACATCTTAGTACTTTTCTTAATGTAAATGTGCCTGATCCACTGATCTGCCTCCTGGCGGTTCCTCAGTGCCCCAGACTTGTGGGCTCAGCCTGTCCATGATGTGCAGTGGGACCTTCCCGGGCCCCCCATCCTCCACCTGGGAAACCTGGTCACCTCTCACCCTGATGTCCTGTTTCCTCTGGATTCCCCATCTCTTTCCTGAGGCCCTCCCTTCTAGCCCTGCCCGTGCAGAGTGTAGTAGCCCCATCCCGTGACTTTCCGACAGAGCTCCACGCAGGCAAGGCAGCTGCCGGAGGCAGATTTGTACCCAGGGTAACAGAGCAAGGTTGCAGCTCAGCCCGGCGGTCCCTGATCTTGAGCCTGGTCACCGGGAGTTTCCTGTGGGGAGTTCCAGCCCCCCCCCCCCGCCCCCACTTGGCCTCCTCCGCCCCGCTCTCAGCCTGCTTCCAGGGGGCAGTTCGGCTCTCAGACTGGCCCATCCAGGCCGCGCAAGGAGCTTCAACTTTCACACCAAGAGAGAAGGTCAGGGTATTTCTCTAAACAAAGTCAATGGGTTTCCTAGAGCAATTTTACTTGCTATTTTAAAAAATTCCATACGACTCACGTATATATTTGTATATCATTTTATATAGTAATAACTTCCTAGTCTTTTAAAAAAAATGTTTTTTTTAAATTTAATTTTATCTTCAATTCCAATATTGTTAACATACAGTATTATTTTAGCTTCAGGCGTACAATATAGTGATTCAACAATTCCATCCATCACCCGGGCTTATCACGACAAGTGAAAGCCCATTACCTATTTTATCCGTCCCCCACCCAAAAATTCTGTTCCTTTTTCTTTTTTCTTAAAGTTTATTTATTTATTTTGAGAGAGAGAGAGAGAGAGAGTGGGAAGGAGGGGCCAGAGAGAGAAGGAGAGAGAGAGAATCCCAAGCAGACTCCACACTGTTAGCACAGAGCCTGACACAGGGCTCAGTCTCACGAACGCTGAGATCATGACCTGAGCCGAGAGCAAGAGTCAGACGCTTAACCCACCGAGTGACCCAGACGCCCCAAATTCTGTTTCTTTTTAAACCCGACTATATATTTTGGGCCTTTCCTTCTGCCATTAATTATCTTTTGAAAACATTATTTTCTTTTCAAGAAACAATTTCTTTTTACTTTTCTTATCACAAAGTGAAGCATTACCATTTGCTTAAAAAAACAACACACAATCCAGAAGACTAAAAAGATCACCAGTGTTGGCCTGTTCCAACTTCCCGGACCTGGAATGACTCCTGGTCAGTGTTCCGCCGGGTGACCTTCCAGAGCTCTGCTGTCATGTCCGTGCATCCTGGCAGGCGACTCTGTGCACGTGCGAGGCTCCCCCCGCCCCCCTCAGAGGGGCTCCCTGGAGGGGAAGGGACAGGAGCACTTTTGAGATGTTGCTGCAGTAGACTGAAGTGGTGGAGAGCAGCTGGCTTAGATTCCAGGCCCCTGCCCCTCTTCCAGGCTGGGGGACCTTGGGCCCCTTACTTAGCCACTCTGCCCTTAGTTTTCTCATCTCTGCGATGGGCTGATAGCACATCCACCGGAGAGATGTTTCGAGGATTCAGGGAGTTCACGACGCCTGCACACAGCTGCCCTCCGTAACTGATAGTCTCTGTCACCTGCTTCCTAGTGCCCTCAGCGGCTCCTACCGTGGTGTCCTTATTGTTCCGCCTGCACCCAGTCAGAAGGGAGGAATATTTACTGGGTAGATAAGTGAATAAATGAAGGAGGTGTGATAGAAGGTGCTCAGAGTCTGTGTCGGCCAGATGCGGGTACGGACACTGCGCTCTGACCAGCCTTCTGAGCCGAACAAGTTATGTAACCTCTCCAGCTCTCAGTAAAGTATAAGACCATTCATAGGTTCGTTTAGCTGATCTATTTTGAGGACTCCTGTGTGCCAGCCCCTGCTCTAGGTGCTGGGCTCCTTCTGTGAGCAAAAAAGCAGAGACCAGTCTCTGTCCCCGTGGTGCTGGCATCCTTTCTGCATCGTTAAAGAGATCCTGTTCGACATATTGTCTGGCACTTAGTAGGTGCTCAAGAAATGGTATGGTTGCCATCCTCCTGCTGTGCTGAGGTCCACCTTGGACCTGAGGCAGAAGAAATTGACCCAAGACCCATCTTAACCTCGAAATGGTCCAAGGGGCTTCGTTCCTAGTGAGGAAGGCATGCAGCCAAGAGGGGACTTACCAGTGCCTGGGGTAGTGTCAGAGAGGGGCTTCTGTTCTGAGATACCCCAGAGCACGGCCCCAGGTATAAGAGGCCCTAAGAAGGCCTGTCCCCTCACTGACGTGGCTTCGCGCCTTCCTCCCCAGGCCAGGAGGAGGGGGGCTGCCTGCCCCGCCCCCAGTGCCCCCAGGAATGTGCCTGCCTGGACACGGTGGTCCGATGCAGCAACAAGCACCTCCAGGTCCTGCCGAAAGGCATCCCCAAGAATGTCACGGAACTGTGAGTAGCCCCAGGCCTGACGGTGCGGGGGGACAAGGTCACCAAGAACAGCTGGTTAGGGCTTGGAGCGAGGGCGTGGCGGGAGACACTGGTTCCAGGAAGCCTTTGAGCTTCTGTCGGACCCCCCTCTGCAGTCACCTGATGGCATGAGTCTCCCACGGCGAGCGCTTGCTCGCTTTAAGCTGAGGCCTGCTTTTAAAATAAGAAGTAACCTTACGTTGGCCGCTTCACCGCAGCTTGTGAGCATCCCCTCCGTCATGAAAACTCTCACACAAGTTTGTTTTCGCTGGCCGCGCATGACGCTACCACACGAATCTACTGTGATCTATGTAACAAATGCCCCTTTGTTGGAGACTTGTTGCCAATGTTTCACTATTAAAAAAAGTCCCCGAGGTGAACATCCCTTCAGTGAGGCTGCTCGTCAAAGAGCGCTGCACTGCTAGGGCACTTGCTGCCTTTTGCATCATGGCCTTCCAGAAAAGCCGTTGTCCTCGCGCCCCAGCTGGCCGGGTGTGGAAATGGCCTTCGTGGCCACCCCCGCTGTCCATACTGGGCATCATGCGCTAAAACCTGTGCTGATTTGGATGTGGTATCTGAGCCTACGTGGGGGCATGGATGTCAGTGTGAGTGACAGACAGAGGAGAGCTGGGCTTCTTCCACTGACACCCCCAAATAAGAGGCTGTGGTCCGTCCCCGACTCGTCCTGTCCCCTGGGATTGGTCCCTCCAGGCCTCCGTAGTTGCGCTTTTCCTTCCCTGTGGGAAGTGTGTGAGCTTTTCATTTGTGTTTCTTTCATTACTGGCGAGGCAGGCTGTTTCTTTACAGGGACACCAACCACTGCAGTCCTTGTCCTGTGTCCCTCGCCCAGTTTTCTATCATCGTGTTAGTGTCCTGCTTCCTCCTTGGTGCCTCCTAGCCACCCTGAGCATAATGTGACAGGTGGAACAGCCTGGCTTCTTTGACTAAGGATGCTGAAGTTCAGAGGCTGGGAAAATCACTTGACTTCTCTAGGCCTCCGTTTTCCCAGCTCTTAAGTGGGGCCACTAGGGTGTGTTGAGAAGAGCCATTGAGAGGATCACGCGAGATGGGTGGGAAGTCACTTTGTATGACCCAGAGTGATGGGTCAGGATGAGTAAAGCCCTGATTTTGCTGCTCTCTGGATCTTTGGGGGTGGCGGTGAGCCATCCTGAGGGCTGCAGTCGGTGGGGGTCCTGGACAGGGAGCCCAACGGGGGTTTCAGCTCCTGGCCCTTGGATCCCTGCTCAGCGAGGATGTCTGGGGGGATAGGGGACCTTCACAGCATCTTGAATCCCAAGCTCCACCTTGTAGACATGGGGCACCTTAGGGAATGTTACAAGGACCTTTGGTGGGCTTGGCTTTGAGGACAACAACTTGGGCAGCAGTGTGTATAGTGGGTCCCAGAAGGGAGGCCAAGGTGGAGGAACAGATGGAGGCAGCTGAGGAGTCCAGGCGTGGGTGACAGTGTGCATTCAGGGGAGATGTGAGAGCGGAACACAGCACATGAGCAGAGACCAGTGGCAGGAGAGTCAGCAGCTGTGGGGTGCTGTTGAGTGAGTAGGAGAGTCACCTTGAGGGTCCTGAGCCTGGGTGGTTAGGATCATGGTGTGATGCTGAGGGGGTCAGGGGAACCAGTTTGGGTGTGAAAGCCCTGAGGTCAGGTTTGGGCAGGTTTGGGTCTGGGGCTCCCACGGGACCAGCCAGCAAGTGGAGGGAGGGCCTTGCTAGCTGGTGAGGGGCCTGGCAGGTGGACCTGAGGGGACTAGTGGCAGATCTGACCCGTCTGGCCAAGAAAACTGCAGGGCAGAGAGGGGAGAGAGAGGAGCCCAGCATTGAGCCCTGGGTAGCGCCCGCCAACAGGGAGGAAGCTGAGAGGGCGAGGCAGGGGCAGAAAGGAAGCCAAGGGAGGCTTTGTGTGTCAGAGCTTTTACCGAGTTCTTTGGGTGGCATCTACCCACATGCCTAAGAAACTGCATCTTTTCTCCTCCAGTTAGTGATTCTGGGCCAACTGTGTGGTCTGCATGTAGGAGAGGAGAGGAACTAGAAGGCCCTGGCTGCAGGGGAGGCTCCCCTAGCACCGCACTAACTGTTGTGTTCTGTCCTGTAGTTACTTGGATGGGAACCAGTTCACACTGGTTCCGGGACAGCTGTCTACCTTCAAGTATCTGCAGCTTGTGTGAGTATTCGGACCTCTGGAGGATCCCAAGCCTGCCTTAGAGGATGGCGGGGGCGGGGGGGGGGGGGGGGGGGGGGGGGGGGGGGGACGCACTGGTATCTAACCCTCTGGCTCCAGCTTTTCTGGAATTCCCTACCACTCGGCTTCCAGCTCATCTGGTTTTTATTTTGCCCCTTCCCTCCCTGAATGTCAGTGCGTAGAACTGTGTTGCCACCTAGTGGCCATGCTTGGGAATGGCATGGTTCCTGGCTCCCTTGAGTTGGACCCTGTCCACTTCTCCCTAGCTTGTCACCCCAAGCCTCCATCTGGGCTGAGAATTATTGTTAATGAGGGTCATCCTGGCAAAGGAAGGGGGCCAGAGCAGAAGTAGAGGCTGATGGAAAACGCAGTCCATCCTTGGCCCCTAAACCAAACATGAAATACGACAGCTACAAATACACATCAGTGACTAAGTTTTTCTTCAGGCTAACATCTCTTTTTCTGTTATTTACACCTTTGAGCCTTTCCACTCCATGAAAATATATGAACTAAGCCTCAGAATAAACTTCATTTCTTCTCAGCTCTCCAACCTAATTAACACCTCTCTCCAATTGTCTTGGTGTGCTTATTGGCTAGATTCTCCCAGAAAGAAGTCCAGAGAACATTCCATGTTAGTTTGGCTTGGAGCAGTACTACTACTCAAAGTGTGGTCTATAGACCAATGGTCACTAGAGAACTGTTTGTAATGGGTCCACAATTAGATAAGAAACTTGCACCAGAATGTAAATCAGTGTCTTTCTTCCATCACTGAGAAGTGTCACTATGAAAAAAGCGTTCGCTAAACTGAGTTGTGTGTTTAGCGTCATAGGTGACTGCACTTTGGCACAAGGTCCTTGTTGTGGGACATTCAGTTCAGGGACTGGCTACTTTGAGTAGCACAGAATCTTGAAGCTCCGGTGGATCTGTCTTTGCTAAAGACCCAGCAGATGTGTTTTGACTGTTCCAATGGTGTGAGGGGTGGGAGGAGGGCAGTGATTTGGTGGCTGGTGACAGAGTAGCAAAGACATAGACGGCTTTTCTCTGGTCTAATTTGAGGCAGCTACACTGGTGGCTTGGATACCTTTGGGAGGAAAGGAGGGAGAGAGGGCCGATGCGGGGCCAGTCCTTGCCAATCAGAAGCAGGGACCACGCGGTGTGCCGAGAGCTCAGAGAAGAACTACAGTGTGGCCTGAGAACAATAGACCGGTCTTAAATGAAATGAGTTAGAGGAACATTTACTAAGAGGAAATGAAGTCAGGGCATGTGTGGGGGCCGGGGCAGAGGCAGAACTCACCAGTAGGCAGAGGGAACAGGGGCAAGAGAATTTCAGGAAGTGTAGCAAATCTATGCCAGGCACGTGGGAGGCAGTGAGGGAGAGGTGGGCCAGAGCCGGGAGCACCTAGCAGGTGGCTGGGATAATTTTTTAGGCAAATGAGAGCCACTGTGGGATTTGGCAGAGAAGTGACCTAGTCAGATTAGTGTCTTAGAAAGATTGAGGTGGTGCCCGCCCGTGTGGAAGATGGATAGAAATGGGGCAAATTTAGGGGAGAGATGAGATACAAGTCTGAGACAGAAGCCAGGAAAAGAGATGGCTTGAGTAAGCAGAAATGAAGGAGGAGGCTGAGAGAGAGGAGCGGGGGGGTCAGTTAGGGCAGTGTTTCTGGGTCCTTGGGGCTGTGGACTAGGTGGGTAGGGGGTAGGAAAAGTGCAAGATGTGGACTGGAGCTGGACTGTCTCTGGAGGGGAGTTCAGAGGCGAGGGCACTGTTGCACGTGGTGGGGAGTGAAGCCAGGAGCTTCCCGAGGCTCCCAGAGTGGACTAAAGGAAGAGGGTCAAGAAGGTAGGGTTGTCTGGGAAAGAAGCTTTACCAAGAGATGGAGGAGGCACGGCCAGGGAGGTGGGGGGGTGGTGGTGTGGGAAGACAGGTGTCTGAGGATGGATGGGGTTTGAAAGGAGGTTTGAGAAGAGGGGTATCAGTTGTGACGGGGG